AGGCAAGAGTTGGCTGCTGCATAGTTCGCCTGGCCAAAGTTTCCCAAAAGCGCAGCGACTGACGAAAACATCAAGAAGATTTCGAGGTCCTTGTTCAAATCCAGTTCCTCGCACACCTCGTGCAAGTTCCAGGCCCCCACAACCTTTGGAGCATAAACCTTCTCAATCGACGCCTTGTCTTGCTCGGCGAGAGCCTTGTCATCAGTCACTCCTGCTGCATGGAATATTCCGCGCACGGGAGGCCATTCGCCAGATTGGATCTCTTCAAATGCCTTCCTGACGTCTTCTTTCTTGCTCATGTCGCACTTTACATGCTTGATTTGAATGTTAGGTTGGGCACTCAACAAATATTGCCAGGTTTCTCCTTCCTTCAATTCAGCAGATGGCTCCCCAGACCGAGAAAGCAGTGCAATATGCCTAGCGCCTTCCTCTATGAGCATTTTGCAAACGACTAGACCAAGCGCTCCCACTTTACGTGCTTGATTTGAATGTTAGGTTGGGCACTCAACAAATATTGCCAGGTTTCTCCTTCCTTCAATTCAGCAGATGGCTCCCCAGACCGCGAAAGCAGTGCAATATGCCTAGCGCCTTCCTCTATGAGCATTTTGCAAACGACTAGACCAAGCGCTCCGTGGCCGCCTGTGACTATATAGGACTTCGCCAGGGTGGCGGCGTGCACTTTTGGCGAGAGAGCACTGGGAATCGCCAAGACCACTTTCCCGACGTGCTGCGCCTTTTGAAGGAACCGGAACGCAGCAACGCCTCCGTCCTGCTGGTCAGTCATATCAAAAACTGTTGCTGGAAGAGGGCTGAGGGCACCAGACTCCAGTCGCTGCGTCATACGGTGTAGTTGGAGAGCGAACCAGCGAGGGTTGTCTTCGATCATAAGATCAACAGCTACAGTCTCGTATTGAACATCTGGCCGTGCTGCCTTCATTTGTTCGTGAGTCCAAATACCTCTTTTGCCGAGCTCGATGAAAATGCCGTTTTCCGCCAGGAAAGAAAGTGAGGAAGATATGAAAGGCTCTAGCAGGGAATTGAGCACGACGTCAACCTTGCCGTTCTCCCCAAGAAACTTTCGCATGTCTTTGACAAATATTTCGGGCTTGCGACTTGACGTCACATACTGTACCCCTAGCTCCTTCACGTACTTTGTCTTAGCCTCACTGCCGCAAGTACCATATACGATAGCTCCAACGCGCTTACAGTGCTGAATCGCCAGGAGGCCAACACCTCCAGACACTGCATGTATTAGGACCTTATCGCCTGCTTTGACTCGAGCGATGTCACCAAGTGCATGCTGCACCGTCGTAGCCACAACTGGAAGGGTCGCACCTTCAGAGAAAGACAAACCGTCGGGCAGTTTCCACAGCAAATCTTCGCTCGTCACTGCAAATGTCCTCAAGCACCCAGGGACAATGCCAAACACTGTGTCACCTAGTTTTAATCGCTTCACTTCCGGACCCACTGCGACAACCATTCCAGCGCAGTCTGACCCTGGTGGCCCTGGATCCCCAGGATATAGTCCCATAACATTTAGGACATCCCGGAAGTTTAAGCCAATGGCACGCACTCTAACTTCCACCATATTTCCTTTTGGCTGCTTCCTATGGCCGACTGATTGCGCCCTCAAGACGAGGCTCGCTATGGCTCCTCTGTCAGGGAGATGCAGTTCGACAGGTCCTCGGACACCTTTCTTCCACTTTGCAAGTCTATGAACGAAGATGGAAGGCGTTTCTGGCTGGAGTTCTTGCGCTGTCTCCGTCCCACTACTGGCAGGAGGTTCATCATCATCCATTCCTCCAGCAAGTTGGGTGCACGCAAGCAGCTCTGGTTCATATGGCTTTGTTTCTTGAATCGTAGCCAAAGCATACAAAGTCTGAGGCAATAGTTTTGGATCTTCGACATCCACACAACCGAGTGGAATCAGCCTTCCCAGCTGAGCTGCCGTCTCTAAGCGCACAGCACGTGCAAAACCCCAAGCACCTGCTTGAGAGCAGCCTCCACGTTGTCCTTCAGTTGCGAATAAACCATGGGTGACAATCCAGATGGGCCTTAGCACTGCCGTCTTATCAGCCATTATGGCCCGATGCGCAGCCTTGCAGACAACTGTAAGGCCTGCAACAACTGAGGTGTCGTTAGCTGCAGTTGTAGTCGCCGCGACTACAATGACAGTCATCTCCTGTGCTGAATCGTCAGTTCCTGTGACGACCAGTGGTGTTAAATCCTCCGCAGTAGGGTTGCTCATAAGTGTACAGCTCCATGGTTTCACGAGCTCGTCGATTTGAGCAAGCGTGTCATCTTTTACTGCTCTGAAGTCGATCACAACAATTTTCAAATTCGCATCTTCTGGAATGCTTGGTAGTGTCTTGAACTTCTGCCACTGGGAGTGCCACAACAACTCTCGAGGAATCTCAGCTGCAGGAACTGGGTCAACAGCCCGCATCGTGAGATGCGTAATGCTGGCTACCCAATCCCCGTCTTCAGTCATAATGTTGATGTCCATCACTGCCTGACTTGCATCGCGTTTCACGAGAGCTACATGAGCAAGAAGGGCTTTATGCACACCGTTCATGGACCCCATGGCCACCCGCTGGATCATGAAGGGAATCATAAGCCGTGACGGCCGAGGCTGTAGAGACTCCTTCTTTGCAGCTGCAAGATCGTGTGACAGCACCAAAGCTCCCACGGTTTGGAATGTTCCGTCTAGAACGCAAGGATGGAAACGGTAACCAGTTTCGCCTACAGTGATGGGGCCGGGCAGCTCAAGCCGCAGTTTTGCACTCGAGGGTCCACATTCCATATGCTTAACGACTCGGAATTTAGGACCAAGAACGAGCCCATTATCTTTGATGCGCTGGTACATTTGCTCCACATCCACAACCTGACGGTTTTTGTCCTGCTCAAATATGCTTAGTAGCTCCGCAGATGACGGCGTTTCTTTCTCTTGATGAGCGTCTTTGATGTGTCGGCAGGTCACATGAACAAAAGTTTCGTCCTCCTCACCTTTAGAACTAGACAAAGTAACTTGTCCTCCTGGGGATACGGTTACAAACAGCCTCTGCGTGTCATGCAGTCCATCCGTAACTGGCTTTTCTAGAAGCATGGGCCGCTGGAACTCTATCTCCTCCAATATCACTGTTTTTGAATGATCTGTTTCTACTGGGCATATACAGCCTGACGGCTTCATGCGCTTGCAGCTGACAGCAGCAGCCATCGTCTCCAAATACAATGCGCCAGGCATAACTGGCCGCTCTTGAAGCTTGTGCTGAGCCATGACTTCGAAATGCTCCCTTCTGACCTCTCCTTCATAGACAGTATCACCGACGTCCGTCTCCCTAACCCGGGCAACATGAGGATGCAGTGTTTCCCGGTGGGCAAATCTCTTGCGAGACCATGAAATTGGCTCCCTGCGCTTTGCCGTCGTCTCGAGCTGAACATACTCCTCCAGTACAGCATGTGCATTGGCACCGCCGAAGCCAAAGGAACTTACAGCACCTAAAAGCTTTGAGCTCCCCGTGAGACCCATGGATGATTTAGGGAAGACTACCGGCATATCGTCCAGCTCAATGTATGAATTGAGTTTCTCGAAATGGAGATTTTGGGGAATCTCGCGATGCCGAAGGCAGAGCATGAGCTTAATCAGAGCTGCTATTCCTGCAGCACCCTCCAAGTGCCCAATATTGGTCTTGAGAGCACCAATAAACAGGGGACTTTCAGCAGTCCTTCCGATACCATAAACGGCGCGAACAGCGCCCATTTCAATTGGATCGCCGAGAGACGTGCCTGCACAGCATTAAGCACTTTGTAAAGTAAGCCTTTGTCTCTCAACTTTTTTGTGTGAGCTCAGCAGCTCAGTACAATTCCTGCTTTGCCCTGGATAGCTTGGCACCTTACCTGTACCATGAGCTTCTAAGACTGTCACTTCGTGCGGCTGAATGCCTCCTTGGACCAGACATGCACGTATTGCAGCTTGCTGAGCGGGACCACTAGGAGCGGTAAGACTAGCGCTCCTGCCTCCATGGTTCACAGCGGAGCCTCTTAGGGTGGCCAAAATGGGATTTCCATCTTTTAAAGCCTCTTCTAGGGGACGCAGGAAGACCATTCCAGCGCCTTCACCTCGAGCATAGCCATTCGCACGTTGGTCAAAGGAGCGGCAGCGGCAGTCTGGAGATATCATCCGGGCTTTTGCAAAGCAAATGAACAGATTTGGCGACAGCATAATATTCACGCCTCCAACGAGAGCCCCTGTGCAGCACCCTTCATGCAGCTTGGTAGCTGCATTATCCAGGGCCACAAGGGACGAAGAACAAGCGGTGTCAACTGTCAGAGAAGGCCCCTTGAGACCGAAAACGTAGGAGATTCTGTTTGAAATTATTGAAGGGGCTCCGCCAGTGCCTGCTCGGAATGACAGCAGGAGCTGTACAAAGCTGCTGCTGAGGCAGAAGTGTCGTGCAGTTGAGGCTCAAAACGATTTGCACTGAGTGCTGGAATAAAACATCGGCATGGGGCAATGCCTTCAATTCCCGTTTCTGCTTAGCTTCAGTCTTAAGTGTGCTCTGAAACTGAGAACGACACGCTTGACGTACCTGTGAAGGAACCAGAGGGAATGTCAAGCATGTGCCAATCAGAATTGCAACAGCCCACGAAGCAGCCAATTTCCTGGTCAACCAAGTCTGTTTTATCGAATCCAGCAGACCAAATTGTGTCATAGGCCACTTCCATCAAGATGCGTTGTTGAGGGTCCATTACTTTTGCCTCGATGTTGCTGACGTTGAATAGCGAATTGTCAAAGTGGAAAGCGTGCTCGACCATAGCACCGAGCTTTGCATATGTGGTGTCGGGATGATCGGGATCACGATCGTAAAATGCAAACATATTCCACCTGTCCAATGGGATTTCATCCATGCAGTCAGTTCCTGCTTGCAGCATCTCCCAGAAACGGGCTGTACTTGTTGATCCACCTGGCATGTGGCAAGCTGCGCTTACAATAGCAATGGTGGCCACTCTCCTGTCTGTTTTTGACACTTTGCCGAAGCTGCTAGGCATTGGGGTAGGCTTGTGGCCCGAAAATTGTTCGGCTATGGTTTTGTTGACGTAGCCGATCATCGCCCCCACTGACCTTTTTCTCAACGAAGGCATGCCGCTCTTGAGAGTTCATCGAGCTAAGAATTGGAAGAGAAGTGGAGGTAACTTGGAAATCACGTGTTGCGTTTTTGAGCAACGCTGGAACTTTGTCATACCTGAGAAAAAATACCAGTTCGAGCCATTAGCATTATAAATGTGCAACAAAGAACTCTGGATTGCCTATACAGCAATAGATAAGTTGCCCACCTCATAAGGAAGCTTCTCCACCTGAAGGATTGGCACATCAAAATTCCATAACGGTCTCCACTGCGCATAACGTCCTGAAGGACTCTGCTGCCTAGGTCTTCAGTAATTCCCCTCATGCCCGCTTTCTCCAGGAGAGATTTCAGCCCAGCTGCCATTCCATGCTCCACCCACGGACCCCACTGGATGCTCTGACCACACAATCCTATAGACCGGCGCCACGCAGCTATAGCGTCAAGGCAGGCATTGGCTGCTGCATAGTTCGCCTGGCCAAAGTTTCCTAAAATGGCTGTGACCGACGAGAACATCAGGAAGATCTCGAGGTCCTTGTTCAAATCCAGTTCCTCGCACACCTCGTGCAAGTTCCAGGCCCCCACAACCTTTGGAGCATAAACCTTCTCAATCGACGCCTTGTCTTGCTCGGCGAGAGCCTTGTCATCAGTCACTCCTGCTGCATGGAATATTCCGCGCACGGGAGGCCATTCGCCAGATTGGATCTCTTCAAATGCCTTCCTGACGTCTTCTTTCTTGCTTATGTCGCACTTTACGTGCTTGATTTGAATGTTAGGTTGGGCACTCAACAAATATTGCCAGGTTTCTCCTTCCTTCAATTCAGCAGATGGCTCCCCAGACCGCGAAAGCAGAGCAATATGCCTAGCGCCTTCCTCTATGAGCATTTTGCAAACGACTAGACCAAGCGCTCCATGACCACCCGAGATGACATATGCCTTGTCAGCCTCAGAAGTGTTCTTTACGGATATTGGGGATGCGGGCGCATCTGCGGACGTTTCTGTAGAGTAGGATCCACCGCTTGGTTGCAGGGCACTACGCATTCGAATAATAACTTTCCCGATATGCTGGGCTCTCTGCAGATACCTAAATGCAGCCACTCCTCCCTCAACA